GTGTTTTGTTTTAAAATGCATCAAATATTGGCTCACAGTGCCCAGTAATAACTTTTATTTACCTTTCTGTCGCTTAATCAAGCGATTTCAAAGTACTTCTGTAAAATCCTCATTACATCAATTCCGAGCACGGCAAAAAAAGGGCAAAAATATTTATGGCTTAATGCAACAGCAGCAGGGATGGAAGTAGAACATAGCCCTGAATCTGTTTATTGGCAGTTCTTTCCTGAATTTTACGGGATAATAATCCTCCTGCTCGGGTTTTATGGAGAGAAATCCACTTTGGCTCGCGCGGAGCAGTCTGCGCCGCTCTCGGTTTAGCGGGAAACGACGTGTTTGACATCTGAGTGAAACACCAGAAGCTGTCAGAGAGGGTTACAGACAATATTTGAATTGCTACAAATACCTGGCAGCAGCACAGATAGTCCTGAAAGTGTTTGATCTTGGTTGAGTGAAAAGCATGGGTAGAGTTTCGGGAACAAGTCGAGCCTCTCCGTCGTTCCCGTTGACGTGGAGACGGATTTGTTCAGCGGCTCTTTTTCCCTTGGAATTGTGGCTGGATGGAAACAGGAAGTTTTTCTAGTGAATAGAATGGTCATGAACGTGTTTTAGTTTTTATTTTTGAGCAAATAAAGTCGTCAGAGTCTGTTGTTTTGGAGCTGAACAGACCAGGTGGTTCGTTCCGGGAGGAGCAGGGTTTGGTGGGAAGCAGCACCTTGTGTTGGACATGGACAGGTTGGAGGGGGCTTGGAGCAACCTGGGATAGTGGAAGGTGTCCCTGCCCATGCAGGGGTTGGAACAGGATGATCCTTAAGGTCCCTTCCAACCCAAACCAGTCTGTGAATCCCTAATTGCTCACTCTGAGTCGCTTGGTGCAATTGTGGGGTTTTTCTGCCCCGTGTTTCGGGGTAGGGTCATAAAATAAATCAGGCTGGAAGGAACCTGGAGTCCTCTCAAGGGATGAGTGACTCAGAACTTCCCTCCTGCTGTTCCTGCTTCTCCTCCTGGAGCCCTGGCCCTACACAGAGCCTGAGAGACCTTCCTGATGGAGAAGGCACAGCAGAGCTTGTTCCTTGTCCTTGCTGGGAGGTTTTCAAATCCCAACTGGACACGGCCTGGAGGTCCCAGGTGTGGCCTCTTAGTTGGCCCTGTCACCTCTGAGGTCTCTTTGGGTCCCTCAGCTGTGTATGCCTGTCCTCCTAAACCCCCCACCTCCTCCTGCAGCTGTCCCACGTTTTGGCAGGGGCTGCCCAGGGAGGTTTGGAGTCCCCACCCCTGGAGGTGTCCAAGGAAGGCCTGGATGTGGCACTCAGTGCTCTGGGCTGGGGGACAAGGTGGGGATGGGGCACAGGCTGGACTTGATGACCTTGGAGATCTCTTCCAACCTCAGTGATTCTGGTATTTTCCTTATTCAGCTTTTTATTCTGGTGTATTAACAGAAACTCTTCTCGTTGGAGCAACAACATCGATGAGCTTCTGTCTTGATGGAGGGCGACGTTCCCATGGATTTGGGTTGATATTCCTGTGGCTCACGTTGGAAACTGGAATCCATAACTCCTTTGTTTGGCACAATTTACATTTGGGGTTTTTTTTCTCCTTTGCTCCATAACGAGATTTAGTAAATGAGGCTTCGCGTCACATGTTCCGTCAGAGACCAGATCCTTAACGTCCATAAATCCAATTGTTTCATTTTCTCCATTAGCCTCCTCTCAACGTGATCTTTTTTTATCTGCTCTGCTCAGTCTTTTAGGACTTCATTATTTGGAGAAAATGTACTGTAGCACATTTAGTGGTAATTACAAAAGCTTGTTTTAATTACAGTTGTCAAAGAACACGTTTTACGCCGCATTATTGTCGCTGCCGTTTCTAATTCGGAGAGAACCTCTACCTTTTTACAAGTGGAGATGAAAATTAACGTCCTTCTCTTCGAGTGATGTGTCCAGATGATTTTTGTGTGGTTAGGAGTGATTTTGTGAATACTGAAGGCTTTAAAAAGGAATTCTTTGAGGGGGGGAAGGGAGCAGCATATGTTCCTAAGAACGTCCATAAATTACCCCTGTTTGGAATGATGCATGGATTTATATGTCGAAATAGAAGTTTAAAAGATAAAAATGTGGCAATTCTACGTATGTTAAGTGTGGAAATTGAGAATTATTTATTGGGACACTGCAGGGAGTGGGTGAAGAGTGTAGGTTTGCTGACCATTGTTGTATTGATGAGGAACAAACCTTTTTAATCTGATTTTGTCCACATTCAAATGCAAGTGCACAGGGTGAGTGTTGTCCACTGCAACAGGGTTTGAGGGCAGATGAATTTAATGGACATCAAATCCCTGGAAACATTCAAGGGAGAATGTTCTGAGCAGGTTGATGCAGCTGAAGGTGTTGCTGCTCATTGCAGGGGGTCGGAGCAGGTGGTTTTTAGGGGCCCCTCCAACCCAAACCCTTCTCTGAAAGGCTAAATAACTTTGACAACGGGACACTCACAGGCTGGACCTGAGTGATCTCAGCATCAGTGAGTTCTGGGATTCACATCCACCTCCAACCTATGGATACACTCATCCAGCAAACCTCATGTGGCAAAAAAGGGATGGAAAATCTCCAGCAACACAACGGGGAAGGATCAGTTTGGAGATCTGCTGTCCCGTGGTGCTGGGACATCTCACCCATCCCACCCTCCCAGCAGTTCTCCCACAGGACTGTGGTGCTTCTGGAGCTGCTGCTGCTTCCTTTCCCCCCTTAATCCATTCCTTCAAAGTCCAGGGGCCCAAGGCCTGCAGATATTCCATGGGACCTTTCCCAGCTGGATCCACATTTCATTTGGCAAATCCCCTTCAGCTCATAAACCCTTTGTGACAGGGGCTCTTCCAACCCCCACACCCAATTCCAGGGCTCACTGGAAGCCTTGGATGTGCCTTGGGAGCCCTTGGTGTCCACTTACCCCATCCCCTGATGTTCTTGGTGGAGGAGATGACCATCAATCAGAGGACTTGGAGATAACTGATGATAATTTATAAATTTAGTGTAAAGCCAGACTCTTACTTGGAAGCAGGTCGTTCTTTTCCCAGGAAAATGCAAACTGGACCCATCTCAGGGTTTTTCCCCTGTAAACCTGATGGATAATAATGGATTTGGAGGTCGGAGTTGGCACCGAGGGGCAGCTGAAAACCTGGGACTGCTGAGTTTGAATCCTGCCTGCAAACTTATATTAAACTGCCTCATAATGGCTTTTTTTTTGTTTGGTTTTTTTTTGACTTAAATAATATCAATTTGTGGCTGCACACACCTGGAATCTCGTTGCATCCTGATAACCAGATTCCCTTTATTTACATTTCACGATTAATTATTAACCACACATTTTTTATGCTTGTTTGCTCTGTTTTACCTTACAAGGGACAAAATAAATGTGCATTTGTTGTATCCAGTGTGAGGAGGGTTTGGCTTCATCACCAGGTGTCCCTGCAGCCTGGAACAAGGCCATTCCCAGGAATTTTATTGGAGATATCCATTTTTTCCAGCGATGGCACCTCATAGCAGAGCAGAGCCAAATCCAGCTCCTACTTTGGAAAACGAAACCCAGGTTGGCCTTTAAATCCTGATCCAACTTCCTTGTGATTGTGAGGAAGAAATTCAGAAGAATTTCAGAATCAAACTAATATTTGATGTTAGTGGTGTATTTTTGGGGTATTAAATTTGGGTGGTTTTGGGAAGATGGGCTGTGTCTCCTAGAAAACACCCAAATAAAGGCTTTTTTAAATCAGAATTTCTTTGTGAAGAAGCAACAAACCAGTTCCAGTATCTCCTTTACACCTGAACAGCAGCATTGAGCTAATTGAATATCCAGCTACTCTTAATTATTTTCTCACAGCTCATTGATATTCACCAGGATCTTGTAACTGTGGCCCCATAAATATAATATTGCTTTCCAGGTTTTTCCTTTTGGCACTGAATTCTCTCCTATTGGCATATTTATAGTCTCCTGTATAAATGAATAATTTTATTTATTACTTATTTATTTGAACTTTGCTGTGTCTGAGTTACTGTACAAGTGTCAGGGGTGGAAGAAACTCCTGTTTTCTGAGTTTCTTACCCACCTACCAAATCTTCCAGTTACTTTCACAAGACAGGGACCCAAACCTTTGGATAAATAGATTATTTAGTATTCTTATAATTTATTTTTTTTTATCACTGATAGGTCAGAGCAATAAGTGGCACGACTGGTAATTTTTTTCTTGGCCCCTTTATATTTAGTGCAGTAAAATCTGATTTGATCACTGGTTGTCCTGAGGGGCAGGGGACCAAACCCAAAAAAACAACCTAAAAAACCAACAAACCTTCCA